CACAGACACAACCTAAGATAAAATAAATAAATAAAAATAAAAAATCTCACAAATATAAATAATAGTAAAAAATTCAAAACCGGAAATGTATCATTCTAGGTGGGGGCATGTGTATTTTCAAGGGCGGGGCTACATGTATGTGAATGTGAATATTTAATAATATTACGCTAACAGATTCTGTAAAACAAATGTGTAATTCTGATAACAAAATGCACGTTTCCTAGTAAGATGCTAACCTCTCTGCAATATCACCTCAATGGAGTTCAGTTTCCATCACCACCTCTCCTCTTGGCCTTCCTGCTCTTCATTTTCATGGTACTCAAAATCTTGATTAACACAACCAAACCCAATAGCTCAACTTCAAAGCTCCCTCCAGGGCCAGGGCCACTACCTCTCATAGGAAACATACACCAGCTCGCTGTCTCATCACTACCCCACCACACCTTGACAAACTTAGCCACAAAACATGGACCTTTGATGCATCTCCTCCTCGGCGAAGTCTCCACCATCGTTGTCTCCTCCCTGAAATTGCCGAACAGGTCATGAAAACCCATGACCACGTCTTCGCTCAAAGGCCATACCTTCTCGCTTCTCAGATTCTCTCTTACGGTTCCACAAACATTGGGTTTTCCCCATACGGTGAATACCGGCGACAATTCCGAAAGATTTGCACAACGGAGCTTCTGAGCTCGAAGCGCGTCGAAACGTTCCGGGGAATTAGGGAAGAGGAGGTGATGAATTTTGTGAGAGATATTTCGTCGAACACAGGGTCGGCAATCAATCTGAGCAAGAGAATTTTCTCACATACCTATGGGGTTACTGGTAGAGCTGCTTTTGGGAAGAAAAACAGAGATCAAGAAGAGTTCATGGAAGCTAAGGACGAACTTGTAGCGTTGTTTGGCGGGTTCAGTGTTGCTGATATGTACCCATCGGTGAAATTGCTTCAGGTGATGAGTGGAATGAGAAGAAAGCTTGAGAAATTGCATAAGAGAGTCGATCAGATACTTGAAAACTTTGTTAACGAGCACAGAGAGAAGAAGACAGAGAGAGAGAGTGGGAGAGGAGAAGCAGAGGACCTGGTTGATGTTCTTCTGAGAGTTCAGAAAGATGGAGAGCTTGAATTTCCATTGACAGACGACAACATCAAAGCTGTCATCTTGGTTAGTATACAGCCTGACTCTAGCTTCATTAGAGACTGGTTTAAATTTCAGGATCCATTATTATTTATTTATTTACTCAGTATGGTGCCACATTTCAGGGTGTTCAAAAAAATGGGTAAATCAATCGAATCTAATCTAAATTGCAGGTTTTATTTTTAAGTCACGGTTTTGATTTTGATCTGAAAATGATAAAATCTTTCAAATCAATCTGATTTCTGATTCTAAAGTTTTGGTTACGGTACTAAATCGAACAGAATCATCATATATTTATTTACAACAATGATTCATCCCCCTTTTCCTCTCACCTCCTTTGACCCCCTCTCTCTCTCATTGGTTATTTTTTCTTTTTCTTTTTCTTTTTTTTCCTACTCCCCCAATCACCACCCGCCACGTGGCAAAGGGAGGTGAGGGGTGACCCCCAAAAGGGGTCCCAAGCATTATTCATTTATTTATTATTTTTATTTAAAAAAATTAAAATATAAAATGCTGATAAACTCTAACCAAATTAAATTTAGTCAAACTAATTGTTATTGGTTTGTTTATTAACATAAAATACATATCATATTTATTGTTACATAAAATTTCTAAAATCTTAAATCGAATTGAATTAAACCGTTTTATATAGTTCAATTTCACAAGTTGACGGCTCAATTACGATTCTAATTTTTTTGAAACCGTAAAAAACAATTCAATTTTTAGTTTACACTTAAACTTAATCAATCCGATCAGCGTACACTCAACCATATAACACTCAAATTTTATCCTAATGAGGTGGGAGAGAGAGAGAGAGAAAAAAAAAGAAAAGAGAGGGATAAAGAGCGTGAGTTCACCTCTTCACATGAACCATTCCATGTCATTGGAGGCGCGGGCGGCCCGAAGCCCGCCCAGCCCATTTAGGCCCGGGCCCAAGCCCAGCCCAAGACTTTGGCCCAAGGCCTGGGCCATCGTTTTGAAGCTCGGGCCGCCTGGGGCACCCGAGGCCCAATGTTATTTTTAATGGAAAATAATAAAATTTTGGTGGAAAAAATAAAAAAATTTTAAAAAATTGTTTAGGTCCGCCCGAGCCTGCCCAAAGCCCGAGCCTAGGTCCAAGCCCGAGATTCGGCCCATTGGCCCGCCTAAAGCCCGAATACCCCTAGACCTAAGCCTGGGCCTAGTTTTTCTGACCCGTGGCTCGGCCCGGTCTTGCCCGATTTTTGGCGGGAGCCCGCAAGGCCCGACAGGGGCCAGGCCAGGCCAAAATTACACCCTTAAGTGTGAGTTCACCTCTTCACATGGGCCATTTCATGTCATTGGAGGTGAATTGAAAATGCTCAATTAGAGCTCTCAAGTATTATTACTTATTTATTTATTTAAGGGCATATTTGATTGGATGGATTAGAGCATGAGATTGAGATTATTAATTCGTGGGCCCAATTATCCTAGGTTTGTTTTAACATTTTGGTTTAAGATTATTAATCCATGGATAATTAATCTAACAAATTTGTAGGATTATTAATAATGGGGTAATGGTGAGATTATTAATCCTATGGATAATTTATCTTATTAATCCAATTAGATAGTGAATAACACATTAATTTGATAGGATTATTAATAACTCACTATTAGTCTTGTGAATTAAACATGGCCAAAATATATTAAGGCCTCATTTGGAAAGTGACTTATAAGTTGCTTATTAGTTTATTAACTTATTTGGATTATATTATATCTTTATTTTTTATACTATATTTTTTTATAATGAGCCAAAATATTAACTTATAAGCTGCTTTCCAAAAACAATCTTAAGAATGTAATTATCAATTTAGGGAGCCGTACGGGATGCTAGGGCTCAAATTAGTGCAGGATATATGTCTCTAAGGCCTTGTTTGGCATAAATTTTTTTAGTTAAAAATAATTAATAAAGAAAAAAAAAGTTATTTTAGCGAATAAAAAAAATATCACATTCAAATTATAATCATTTTATTTTTCTTTCACAATCACAAAATCAACTAAAAAAAAAACTATTATTTCAAACATAACTTTTTTCCCTATGCTAAAATAATTAAATAATCAAAAATTCAAGTTAAAAAGGCCTATCACAAACAAACGAGCACTAACTACGGGACCTGCACTATTTTTAAAATTTATATTTATTATTTATTTTTTTTAAAATAAATATTGTAAAATTATCTGATTGTAATTATAAGGTAAATGTAAAACCTTTCATAGATTATTTTAAAATCAATCATTTTAATCATTCGCAATGCTGGGACCCCAGTGGGGGCGACCCCCAGCACCCCCATCTCCACGTGGGAGCTGTCAATGGCCAAAGACTTAAAAAAATAAACAAAAAACAAAAAAAAAAAACTATTTGTTTGGCCAATCAGAGAGGACCTCCAGTACCCCACTATAGGCGTTTTCTTATTGAACGGTATATTCCATCAATCCAATCTTCTTACGAGACTGAAAAATTTCTTAGTTCGTTATGAATAAAGGATTGTTTTGGAACAATCTAAAACAACATAGTTAGGCCAAGTTTGGGAAGACTAAATAAGTGCACTTTTTGTCTTTTTAGACTAAAAAGTTGAGGTTGAAAATATGAATGTTTGGGTTACTTTTTGACTTTTTATGGAAAAATGTGTAATAAAAAATTGTAAAAATTGATTTGTAGGAGAAAATTAGAATTGGAGTTGTGCAGCCGTAATTGTTGACTTTTGGTGAATAGTGATAACTTTTTAACTTTTTGAGTAACTTTTTGGCTTTTTAACTTTTTGGGGTGTTCCCAAACTTGGCCTTATTGTCATTTTATCTTATTTCAATTACATTATTTCTTTTTTAAATCACATTATTTTCCTATTTTTGTAATACATATATTTTCATAAAAAATAAAAAAATATTAACATAATCTAGGATAAATTACACTAACACCCACTAAGATTTATATTTATTACAGTTTTCCTCTCATCTTTTAAAAATTACATCTCTCCCCTGAGGTTTAAAGTTTCATTACAGATTTCTCCCAAAGCAATTTAATTTTTTTAAATACCGATTTTGCCCTCACTAGGTAAATTACATTGACACCCCTCACATTTTAAAAATTACAATCCCTTCCCTAAGGTTTAAAGTAGTATTACCAATTGCCCCAGTGTTAGTATTAGTTGAAAAAAAAAATTCATTGAGAAAAAAATTATTTGAAAAAAATTTTGTTAGTAAAATTTTTAAATTTTTGTTTAAAAACCAATGTAAACTCATTTTTGAATTTACGTTTTTTCCTCAAATTTACAAACTGAGACAATCATTTATTAAACCAAAAAAATTATCAAATAAGTTTTTATGACATTTTTAAAATTTTGTAAATATAAATTGAAAACTGAAAACGAAATGGTTACCAAACAGGCTTCAGATGGTAAAAATGTCGTAAAATTAACAAATAATTAAATAAGTTACCAACGTAAAAAATGACTTATCAAAAGATTCTTAGCATATGTGTGATTTAATTTTTAGAATTGTTTTTTTAAAAAATTAAAAATTAATTTGGTCAGAAATAAAAAATAAAAAATAATTATTATTTAAGGGTAAAAATAATTATCATTTTAACTTTTGGGCAGGTTATATACATACATATGGTTGTTTCAATTTAATTTGAAAAAAATTATTTTTAACCACTCGAAAGATAAAAATTATATAAAAATGATAATTATTTTTATTTTTATTTCTTAACCAAATTAATTTTTAATTTTTTAAAATTTTTCTAAAAATCAAACCATACATAGCCTAAGAATCTTTTGATAAGTCATTTCTTACGTTGGTAACTTATTTAATTATTTGTTAATTTTACGATGTTTTTTACCATTTAAAGCCTGTTTGGTAACCATTCTCGTTTTCAATTTTCAATTTTCATTTAATATTTGCAAAAATTTTAAAAACTGTCATAAAAACTTCTTTGATAATTTTTTTTGGTTTATAAATGGTTGTCTCAGTTTTGTAAATTAAGGAAAAAAAATATAAATTCAAAAAAATGAGCTTACGTTGATTTTTAAAACAGAAATTTAAAAATTTTTGCAAAACAAATTTTTTTTTTCAATTAATTTTTTTTCCAACTAATACTAACCAAGGGAGTAATTGGTAATCGTTACTTTAAACCTTAGGAGGGAGATTGTAATTTTTAAAATGTGAGAGGTTGTTGAATGTAATTTACCCAGTGAGGGCAAAATTAGTATTTAAAAAAATTAAATTGTTCAGGAAGGAATCCGTAATGAAACTTTAAACCTCAAGGGAGGATGTAATTTCTAAAAAGTGAAGGAAAAATTATAATAAATATGAACATCAGAAGGTGTCAGTGTAATTTACCCCAATAATCTATTATCAACAACCCCTAAATAGAATGTTAATTTCGTGACTTTTTTTGTTAGCCCCACATTCGTAGTTTAATTCAAAAAAAATTCCTTCAAAATTTTTGAAATAATTATTCGGCCAAATTTGCTTTTTGTTTTACTTGCGCAGCTACCAAAGCTACATGAATAGTTTTGAGAAGGTGAAGTTAGCTATTTTTTATTTTAAATTTTAAAAATATTTTTTTATAATATATTATTTATTTTTGATTGAATTTATACTTTTAGAGTATACTTTCTCAAATTTTATATTTTTACAAAATTTTCCAATTTTCCAACCGAGAAACCTTTTGAAATTTGAAAAATCTATTGATTTCTTAAAAAAAGATCAATTTGTTACTATTTCTTCTGAGAAATTCTTGATTTATTGTAAATTTGTAATTGTATTGAAAATTTAGAAAAATCAAGAAATTTTCTCAGTTTCAAAAAAATTTTTTTTGCAAAATTGAAAAATTTTTTTAAAAAAAAGTAGAGAAATTTCTCAATGCAAAAAACTCATAAATTTCTCAACAAGCATAATATATGATTTTGTTTGATAGATTCCCTACAAAAAAATTCTAAAATATTAGGTATGTGTTTGGTTATGTGTTCCAAACACATTTCCACCACTTATTTGAAGGTGGTGTTTGT